TTTATCTGTTACTGTGTAAATGAGTTTGACTGGAATTTAAGAGCAGATTCTAATATATCTACAGTGTGGGGACTATAAATCTGATAGGAGTTTTATTTTTTAATTGCTATTTTGCACAAATTGCTTAACTAAGTATTTTTTTAGGTGGAATATAAGAGATTTTATTATATTTTTCATACATACTTTGTTTAGATTTACTTTTATCTTTCTATCCTTTTTATAGAATAAAAAAATATTTTTATTGTCCCTCAAAGGGGAAATTTACAGCAGCAGAAAGATTATTGAAAATGGATTGAAAAATGTATAAGAATAACATGATAGTGTAGAGTTAAAATATAGATAATAACATACTGTGTTTACAATATAGTGTCTTAACAATATCAAACTGTGCACCTGGAGAATAAATAACCAATTATCCAGCTATGGACATTTTTACTGTAATGGATATTTAAAAATAACATCAGATATGTGCAAGATGACAGCAGCGTGTTAATTTAATTTAACCTTTATTTGTTTATGCTCTCTGTGGTTTTCACATTTATTCCACTCTATATTCTCCTGGGTGTTGTCTTTATTTAATTTACAATAAACAAAGAAAAAGAAAAACAGTTTTGAAAAGTTCAGTATTTCATTCTCTTCATGCTTTATGTGTCAACTATCACGGTTGCTAAGCGACAGAGCATACAGAGGAGAAAGAACAAAAAGGCTGGACCTGTTTGAATTCACAGCAAAAACTCTTCAAGTCTCCTTATTTTCAAGGACTTCCAAGGATCCAGTCCAGGTAGATCGGGTCCTTGCAGGATGCAGCCCATGAATTTGAACACAGCCTGTCTTCCAGCTGATCTAGTCCCGCGGCTGAGGGGCTGAGCTAATTTGGACTATACCACATCAGTGCTATGGGGGGAAATGGGGTTTAGCTTCATTTGGTTTAGTTAGGTATGTGCATGTTTTGCTCCATGTGTTTCTATGGTGAACTGCTCAGCCACTATTTCATTTTCTCTTTGTTTTAATAAGGCAGGTCAGTTTGTTTGAGTTCTGTTTCTGGTTATTTTGACTAGTTTTTGCTCCTTTGACCTCCTTTTTCCATCTTGTAGACATTTATTCCTTTTTGGGTTAAATCAAAGAACCCTGTGCCTGACTGTCCTTTCTGCTCGGTCCTTCACTATGCACTCATCTGTATCTGATACAGGTGAAAAGAAGCTGTTCAATCTCTGGTGCACGCTTTGCTTGTTCTGTTTGTTTTGTGTCTATAATTTGCTGTAGACCTGGGAACGTCTACCTTTACTGTTATTCTACCAACACTCACACGGTGAGGGATGAAAAACGCTCCCTGACTGATGAAAGTGTTTGTGTATATTTATTTCATGCCAGGCTTTAACAGGCTCAGAGTAGCATTCAGCTGTGATGCATTTGGTCGTATTTTTTGCCTTTAATGATGAAGAGTTCGTCACAAAAGGAGAGCATCACTCTAAACGTTCCTGCAGCCGTTCTGTCAGAGTGAAAAATCTGACCTCCTCCAGAGGCTGGCCGTTTATCTGTGTGCGTCCAGGATTAAACACACTAATCACTCATAACATTATGGCCACTGACATGTGAGTAACAGCGCTTCGATAGGTTCTCCTGAGAAAAACCGCATCCTGACTTTCTCATGGATGTTACTACAAACCTCTTTGCTTTTTTTCCCTCATGTTGGAGCCTTAAACTCCAATGAGTTTGATGTAGGGCAGTAATCTCCAACACAAATCATTAGCTACAGTAAAAGTGTGGCTTGCATTTGTTTTCAGACCCCCTTTGCTCTAATACAGGGCTGGACAATTGCAGTTCCTGAGAGCCGTTGCCTGCAGCTTTTAGATTAGTCTTTGGTCAAACACAGCTGAATAAAATGGCTGAATTACCAACTCAGAATGCTGTCAGTTACTTCAGAACTATTATTCATCTGTTTACTTGATTCAGATGTTTTGGACCAAGGACACGTCTAAAAGTTGTTTAGGAACTGGAATTGCCCACCACTGCTCTAATAGTACCAAATAAAATAAGCGTTGCACCGATACCGATACAGTATCGGGCGGGGCTCTGATCCTGCACTAAAATGGTGGTATCGGTACCTGCGAGTACCAACAATTAGGGCACCGATACCATTTTGAGAGCCAAAAGTTTTTTCAGCTATTGTCACCCATTCCAGGTAGGCAATAAAAAATCTACTGGATTCACCTTGTATTAGTCTTTTTCCTGCTTCACAAAGGTAGGCAGCAGATTGACAAAGCCATGATGGCAATTATTTTACATCCAAGTAGTATGCAGTTCTTAATATATACAAACACACATCAATTTCAAACAGATGGTATCTGTATCGGCCGATACTGCACAGCCAGGTATCGCTATCAGGGCCAAAAATTGACATTGGTGCAACACTAAATAAAATCCAGACCAAAACCAGTTCATGGTCCATCTACACCAGCGGTGAGCAATTCCAGTTCCTGAGGGCCGCTATCCTGCAAATTTTAGATGTACCTTTGGTTCAACACACCTGAATGAAATAATTCGATGATTAAAAGGACTCTGGAGGAACTGACTGCACACTGAGGGGATAACTCAGCTATTTGATACAGGTGTGTTGGACCAAGGATGGATCTAAAAGCTGCAGGATACCGGCCCCCCGGAACTGGAATTGCCCACCCCTGATCTACCCTAATCACACTGAAGGAAAATGAGTATCTTTCTGTATTTTCAAAATAGATAATTGAAAACAGGCATCTTTTTATGAAGCCTTTGACAAAATATATCCACATATATTAATTCATAGATTTCAGCTTCAATTTCATATTATGTAAATAATTAATCTGTATATCTATAGGGAGTTATGGTTAATATTCTAACTTTCCGCTTGAGAGCCTCACTGCTGCCACCCTCTGGTTTAGAACTGCTTCTTGAATTAACTTCCACCACTTCCTGAATCAAAGGCAGCTGCTTTTTTTTTACCGTCTTTCCCAAACCAGTCCCTAAACCCTAAGCACTAACCCTCTGATTGCTCGCTCCCGCGGAAGAACCTTCATATTAAGGGTCGTCCCAAAACACATAGTTGGTTGGACCATTCAGCCCTTAAATCAGTGCAGGCAGGGCAGTGGGTGTAACAGCGACATGATGGCAGACTGACAGAAAATAACAAGTTAGGAAATGAAAAAAGGCATCATTAATTCCTAAAGGCAGGCATCCCCAAAGTCAGTCCTCGAGGGCCGCTGTCCTGCAGGTTTTAGAGGTCTCTCTGCTTTAGCACAGCTGATTATGATGATTGCAGTTCAGCAAAAGCCTGTTAATCAACTATCAATGTAAGTCAGCTGTGCTGGACCTAGAAACCTCTAAAACCTGCAGGACAGCGGCCCGCGGGGACCGACTTTGGGGATGCCTGCCTAAAGGGAAGGTCCTCTTTGAAATTCTTTTATTTGATCATATAAATTTATTTGAAGAAAGGGGCAAGTGTCCGATGTCATGTCAACCTGTGCCACAAAGCTGCAGCCATGCACGTGGAATGCCATTGTGTCACCATAGTAACGACTGCTTTACTGGTCCATTAGAGTGAATAGGTTGCCCTTTTCTTGTTTATACCCCCTCACCTGTGACCTCACTGGGAGTGACCCTCAGTAGTTAAGAGGTAGTTGTTAGGGAGCAGTCTGGGATTGGGGTTCCATTTCCTCCACATTGGAAAAACTAATTACCTGACTGGGGTTTGCTGCACAGCTGGCCAAAGGTCGGCTCTTGGTGGCCATGGCCGCCCCCCTAGCTCTGCTTCTGCCAGTAGGAAAGTCATTTGAACACAACGTTGTCTCCAGTTAAAAAAAGCAGCCAAATATCTTGTGTTTATAAATGGGTAGAAGAGGAAGGAACCTTTAAAAGTAAAGTACTGGTTGAAAGTCCTTTTATTTTGAAAAATTTTTTTTTTCATTTATTTCTCTGAGATCCGGCAGTAAAGCAATGCAGAGATAAATAAGCTGTTTTATGTATATATAAACTTCCTTAACTCAACCTTCTTAGATTTTAGCCACGTATGATTTAAAAAGATTTCAAGAAAAGTGTCTTGGATGAATGCTCCTTTTTGTTTTCACTGGCTCTCAGCAAAGGGTGTTTGAAGTCAAGTCAGAGATCAATCCATACTCCCAGAACCGGCTTTAGCCCCCTTAAATAAAAACAACCAACATGTCTTTTTGTCTGAATCCAAGGTTGGGACTAGTTTTCAGACTCTAAGTCTCTACATCCTCTATTATAAATGGGAAGGTCGGACCAAACAGCATCCAGGCAGAAATCTGACCTCCTGGAATGATATTATTTAGACCAATGAGTGTAAAACCGAAACGTTTGGACAGCAGGAGGCGACCTGCCAGCTGTGAAGCATGGTGGTGGAGGTGTCATGGTTTAGGAATTATTAGCTGCACCAGGAACTGGACCAGCTTCCTTTCATGGTGTCCACCATGTGAGGGGGGGTGAGGAAAATACAGGAAAGGAATCCTCCACTTCCACAGCCCGACGGCTGGGACTTTGAAATGGATAATATTTCCATAAAATCTGCATTAATGTAAATAACATTGATCATTTCCTAGTAAAGAGCTAAATATTTGACAGCCTGTCCCAATTTTTAGTTTCCTTCCTTTAGTTTTTGAAGGCGTCTCCCAGTTCCTTGAACAGGTTGAACCTGCATCTCACTGATGTGGAGCTGATCCAGTAGCCGTCCGCCTCGCTGCAGCAGCCGCCGGCCTCGTCACACCAGGCCTGTCTGTGACAGCCCATGCTCCATGGCAGGAATGCTCACCCCCACCTGCAGATAAGTTGCGACAGCTGTAAATTGAAAGGAGGAGGGAGCTGCTATTTTTATCTCCCATTCAACCAGGCGAGGACCCCCCTCCTTTCCCAGTTTGCTAGTTCTGTAGAAGGCCACCGGTCCTTCTGGATCTCTCCTTTCTGCCTCAGACGAGAATCTTCTAGAGGCCGGAGCGCAGCATTAAGACTGGGAGACACAGGCGGTCTGGGGGAAGATCATAGAGAGGAGGAAGACCTCAGAGAAACCAACCAACCGGTCCAACATGGCTCTGTGTTACAACAAAGGCTGCGGCGAGAAGTTTGACCCCAGCAAGAACAAGGATGGTGAGATCCTGCCTACTTCTGCTCCTTCTCTGTCATATTTAGGATTGCTGTTCATTTAAAAGCATAAACTGTGTCCTCTAAAGGAGCTGTTGGTGTCAGCTGAGGTGATCACTTATGGTGAAGACTATCATGTGTTTCTCTCGCCTTTATTTGCAAATAAAATGGAAACCTGTGGTTAAAAAAATATGGAAATGAGTTATAAGCAAACAGAAATGTGCAAAAAGCAACTGATTAGACCTGGATTTGGCCAGAAAGTTGAAAAACAAAGTGTTAGTTGGATGTGTGCAGCATGGGAGGCAAACAGAGCGTGATCAGCCACGTTTTTATGGAAGTGCTGCTGGAGGCTCCTTATATGGGACACCCAGGCCTCTATGGCCGCCTGTGCCAACAGCTGTTAGGACCTGCTCACTACATGCAGCCTGACATTTCCTGTCCCTACAGATTCCTGCATCTTCCACCCAGGAATCCCCATCTTCCATGATGCCCTGAAGGTGAGCAGATCCTCAGCTTTTCACGTTGATCATAAACGTTCGCAGCAAGGCTCCATGTTTACTGTGCCTCTGTGTCGGTAGGGTTGGTCCTGCTGTAAGAAAAGGACAACGGACTTCTCAGAGTTCCTCTCCATCAAGGTAACAGCTCTGGGTCGAATGAGTGCATTTCATTTAGGATCCTTGGGAATATTTGCAGTGTGAGCAGGAAAACATCAGAAAATATTCAGCTCCTTTGATGAAACTTTAATCAAGTAGAGGAAAAAGACGTTTCATGTAAAATGGAGTCAGAGTAAAGCTTTTAACTTCCTACCCATCTGCTAACAGCAGGGTGATGAAATCTAACCGGGGAAACTAGTGGATTATTCTTCAACCCTTTATCTAAACAGCCTTCATAACCTTTAAGGAGTCAAAACAACATTCAATTATTAACAATCACTGATTTATGAAGGATTATTCAGAGGCTTATGGGAATAGGGTTCAATTCTCAAAGATCTGACTTATTTCTTCAAATTGCTGAGAAGAAATCCAGAACTTTTACTTTAATTTTAGTCTTTTTTTAAAATAAAATTGGTGTTTCTGCCAAGATTCTGAAAATAAAGTCAGATTTTCGAAATGATGACATTAAATGTAGTATTCTAAGAAAATATTAGAAAAAAATGAACTTTAAGTTTTCTCAGAAACCCTAACCTCTTTTTTTTGCACAAGTACAAGTCAACGGAAATTTTACCCAGTGTTGCAAATAAATCAATAAATAAAATTGTGAGTTTGCAGCCCTTCATAAATAAATATGAAATGAAACACAGATATCAAGCAAATCAAAGGGAAAGAAAACAGAAGGTGGACAGTCTATGGAAGCCCACTTTGGACTTTATAACAGAAAAACACCAAAACCATACATCCCTCAGCACACAGCACTGTGAAACACGGTGGTGGCAGCATCATGCTGTGGAGGCTTTTCTTTCGGAGGGTCTAAATTAGCTGCTCAGAGTCTACAGGAAAACATTTTTTCCATTAACGGCCGAGCGACGGCAAATTTATCAAAGGCTTAAACCTGAAACGATCCAAATGCTGAGCGTGTGACGCTGCTGCGTGTGAATTTATCTCAACAAGCTGTTCTGCTGGTTTTGTTTATGTGGTGAATCTGGGATACCTGATAATTTTAACCTGCAATGTTTTATCCAAATGGGAGATTTGTGAACTGTAATGATTTTATGCCATCAAACTGGTATAAACTGCCTGTTAGAGCTTAAGTGGACTTAATTGGTCATTGATGGCAAAAAAAAGCTTTCTTTACTCATTTTCTGCTTTTGCAACAACAAACACATCCTAAGCTGTGTTTTACTCACCCAATTTTCATTTATATATTCATAAATAAGGTGTTAGCCTTCAAATGATGTATCACACATGTAATTTGGGCTTATAGTTAATCAGTTATTTGGTTTTCCATTTGGGTCTGCAAAATAGATGAAGATTACTTCAGTAGAGCTGGGTGTTAAGGAAGGCGTGGAATAATATGGATACACTCTAACCAGGCTCCTGTTTAAAGGAACGAATCATTTCATTATTAAACTAAATAAACCTATTTTTTTTAAATATGTAACCTAACAATTATTAGATTTTGTCGCTGGTGTTTCTGTATAATTACTGCAGGACAAACATCATGCAAATTGATGCTCTTTGCATCAATATTTGATTCATATTTTACAGCTACGGCCTCAGGAACAGGAGTTGCAGTTTTACTCATTCCTGATTATGTGTCACAACTTCATGAAATCTGAATATCTTAAAATCTTTTAGATGTTAATATCGTAATAATAAATAGTAATATATTGGCAGATTGAATCAAGAAATCACTTAAGGCAGAACCTTGTTGACAACATGAAGCAGGCAAAAAGGTCTCAAATTCATAAATAGAAGAGAAGAAAAGTTGCTGACACCAACTTTTCAAACAAACCAACATACCCTACTTGCAGGCAGACACGGCGGTGGCAGTATGATGGTCTGGGACTGCTTTGCTACTCTGGGACCTGAGCTTTTCATTGAAGGAGCCATGTAACTCTGCTCTCTAGCAGTGGATCCTATAGGATGTTTACGGCTTTAAGCTCAGTCACTTTCATCTTATAAAAACCTTAAAATAATCTATAAATAAAGGTCATACTCAAAGGCTGGAAATTAAATCCAACTGAAATGAAGTGATATGAGTTTAAACTGGTTTGTTATGCATGAAATAACCTCCAACAAAGCTGGATTAAAACAATTCTGTCCAGAGGAAGTGGGTGAAAATGCCTCCTTAGTTTTGTCAGTCATGCTGAGAAGCTTTCCTAACAAGGAAGATATTTTTATAACACTTTCTGTATTTTTTAAACTCCAATCCGCAGTGTATCCAAAGTAGAGGAGGTCCTGATCTGACAGTACCTCTCCTCTCCCCCCACAGGGCTGCACCCGTGGGCGCCATAGCAACGTGAAGCCTCAGGAGCCTCTGAGGCCCGAGGTGTCCTCAGACAAAGGCCAGATCTCACACACCAACGGCCAGGAGATCATCTATCAGGGCCCCAAATCCGCCGAGGCGCTGCAGAAAGAGAGGCCCAGGTGAGGAGCCCCTCCCAGCCCCCGCTGCTCATCTGAGGGGATTCAGTTTGCTAAGACATCACCGTTAGTCAGATCCAAGCTGTGCATGCGTTCATTCAGAGGTCAGGGTGGGGTCATCTGCCGCACACGTCGGGTGATAAATAACGCAGCACGATGGGGTCTTTAGGTTCAATTGATGCTGATTTATTAGGTGGATTTTTACTGTGTGTTTATATCTGTACAGCTCAGATCAGCCTTTGACCAAACTGCCACACAAAGTGTCAGCGTCGCTCCTGCAGGAGCTGCAAAAACTGGGACTCAGCAACAGCGCAGAGAGCGAGAAGAAAGGTGAGTCCTCCTGCTTCTCTGCAGAACTTTGCTTTGGGTTTTACAGAACGCCTTCAATCGCAAACAGAAGCACAGCTGTTCTCTTCTTATATCCTTTTACTCTGAAACATCCAGGGTCGTATGAAACATGCTGCATGATTCTATTCTGCTTTAAATGAACTCCCACTCTCAAACGTTGCTTCAGGAAAACCCGAGGCCAATTAATCCAACAATCAGGCAGGAGAATCAGAGATGCAGTTGATTTTTCAGGTTTTTATTTGTATTTTTCTATCAATTTGTCTCACGTCAATAAATCTAAATCTACATAAGTCATTTTATCTTAAAAAAGTGCATTTTGTCTTGAATTGAGGAGGAAAGTGAGACATTTTGCCAATAGAACCAGACAATTTACATGTAAATTAAGAAAAAAACTATTACATTGTCTTATTTCAAGTGCATATTATCTAATTATATTATTCTAAGAGTGAAAATAATCATCCCATTGGCAAACTATCTCTTTTACCTACTCAAATTAAGAGTAAATACACTTAATTTAAGACATTTTTACTTATTTCTAGATCTTTTTTTTTCCAGTGTGAGTAAATATGCACAATATCCACTTTTGTTTGTGATACACCCAGACAAAGTTATCAATAACTATGAAGTTTAACTTAAATACATTGATTTTATTTCCCCGTTTGGCCTCCCATTAGGGGGGCATCCCCATAGCATGATGCTGCCACCGCTGTGTTTCAGGAACTGCAAAAACAATCTAAACAATTTTTTTAATTAGTATATTTACCTTTAATTTCAGTAGCTTAATAAGTTGATCGGCCAATAGAATTAATATATTTACCCCTTGAAATAAGATAATTAAATATTATGTGCTTGAAATAGGAGACTGCATTTGCTTATTTTTAATGTTAAGTCTAAATAGACCCACTTACCTGCTCAATTCAAGAAAAAATAAACAAATTCTAATAAAAATGAACTTATTTATATATTGATTGCAGGGAAAGATTCTGTTTTCAGATTGATTTGTGATGTTTTAGCTTAAGTTCTTGGTCCCCATCTGTCACCTGGCTTATGACAAAACTGCAAACATGACTTCTTTTTTAAAAAGCTCCGATTGTGAACAGCAATATCCTGGTGACTGATTTCCTCCACCTGAGCTGTGGAGCTCCTCCAGAGTTAGAAGAAGCTTCTTGGCTTCATCTGTTTAGACGGCCGGCCTCCTGTAACATGGAGCTTTACAGCCACAGATGAATCAATGGACCTTCTAAAATTTCCTTTAATAACTAAGAACCAACAAATGTTTTTATATACACTTTTATATTAGTTAAATTTTGTAGAATTTTCTCAAATTGTTTTATAAAAAGAACGAGAAATGCTTTCCTAAGCTTTTTTTGTGTGTTATTTATTTTATTAGTTGTTAAAGTTTGAGTTTTAACCTACAAACAGGAATAAAGTTGGGATTTATTACAAATGGCAAAATGTTTCATACAGTAGATATTTGACAACTTTCACCTTTTAAAAGCAGATTTTGCTCTAAAGGAGATTTATGTTGCTGGATTGAAGGCAGAAATGTTTTTTCTAACAGAGCACCTACTTCACACACCAGACGATGTTTACTAAATAATAACCTCTGAAAGTAATCGTTAGCCTTTTTATTTACAGGTATCAAAGTGAAGGGGTGGATATATGGCAACCATCTTTTTTTCCTTGTAAAATCTTCCTAAAATCACAAATCTAACCTTACCCAGTCGTGCCTGACTTTGTGTTGATGGGGTGGATGAACATTTCTATGCATTTAATTCAACAGTTTATTCATTCTAGTTCAGTTTCATCCTTTAAACTTTCCATGAATTCAGCCCCATCAATCTCCACCTGCATGCTGAAAGACGTTGTTCATTTTTCAAGATAATTGAATTGGAAATTCTTCTAACCTGTCTTTGTTTTGTCTCCCAGAGAGTGAGAATGTTATGCACGGGACGCGCTGCAAGAACACAGGCTGCAAAACAGTGAGTGTCTCCTCCTGGTGTGTTTCAGTGGGTGTGTGTGTGTTTAGGTAACGTCTCTGGTATTCCTGCCGAGGCCCAAAATAGTCACTGATCTGACATCAGCAGAAGCTGAGAAATTCATTATCTGCACCGGTGGCTGATGTCTGCACATGGGAGGAAACGGCAAGAACTGCTGAATGCAGTGATTTCACATTACGGCTGCATATTGCCATCGCTCTGTCTAAAACCTGCTTTTTTTAATCATTTAAACTTTGTTTCTTTGAATTATTCACTTGGATGCTGCAGTGGCTGACTTACCCTAATGTGTCAAAAGGCATCATTAAGAGTTTTTACATAATGTGAAGTTACAGCAAACAACAGTTAATCTCATTAGGGTTTAACTGGAAAAGGTGGTGCATGATGGTAGAGTGGGAGAAAATAAAGGAGGGTTTATAGGACTTTAATGAAAATCTGTATGGTTTGAATATCTGCCTTTATCTGCATATTGCTTTAATGTGAATAAAGATAATTGCAAACGCCTTCACTAGAAAAACAGGCAGAAAAGATATTTGGCAGAAACTTGTCTTAGACCATCCTCCCAAATAGGCCATGCCCTCTATGAAACATGGCGGTGGCAGCATCATGCTGTGGAAATGCCTTAGTTCTACAGGGAAGCTACCTACCTAAAGGAAAAAAGATGATGGATCAGACTAAATACTTGGCAATCCTTGAGGAAAACCTGATAGAGGCAGAAAAAAGCTTGAGACAATTGACCAGAGGTAATTTCCTTAGAGACAATTCAACAAGATCATACAGCTGCACTGGTTCAACGTTTCCTGTCAAAGGAAAACCAGCTGATTGCATCAACTCATTGACTAGAAGGCAATCTCTCACACTAAGCATGCTTGTAGCGACAGTGGAGAGAAAAAATCCCTTTTAACAGGAAGAAACCTCCAGCAGAACCAGGCTAAGCGGCCGAGTCTGACTGGGGTTCAAGGAGACATAAGCAGACCTACAAGAGAAACATAGAAGCACTGGTCTCTAAATACCTTCTGGGTTAGAAGAGTAACTGTAAATTATTTCCACAAGGGAGCCTCCGTCTGGGAGAGAAACAGTTAAACAGACAAACTCTTAGCCGTTTTTTATGCCAATAGTAATGAACTAATGAACAAACCTGAGCATGTATCAATGTCTAGGAGAGAAACAGGACCAAGCACTGGAAATTTGGGCCAACTCTTTAGTCTTTTAAGGAAGGTGTTGATGGCAGCAGCCCAGCTAAAGGCCAAACAGGGACATAGCAGGTGAAGCTGCTTTGATGAGAAAAAGCAGACGGATC